GGACTTCCCGTCGGGAGTCTGTCCCGTCTTATTGGCTCCGCTGGCGATCAACAGTCGCACGCATTCCGTGTGTCCCTCCCATACGGCCGCCAACAGAGGGCTTATGCCGTGTTTGTCGACCGCCTGTCAAGCAATCAGTTATGAGACACGAGTCACTACACCGCAGATGACACTCACGTTGAGGTCGACGCCTTTGCCGATCAGGTACTCAATGATATCTTTGTGGCCGTAATCGGCGGCGTAATGGATGGGCGATCGGCCGTCGAGGGAGGCGTTCGCGTCCACCTCCTGCTCACACACACACCCATGAGTCCACTCACTTGTCATGCAATCAGTGGTCACTTACCTTCGAGTCGAACAGTTCTTTGACTGAATCCAAGTCTCCATTCTTGAGACTCCAAACCAAATCCGATGAACTCATGTCCGCTGTCTTCGGCTCTCATAAAGCGATCGCAACTCCAATGAAATCACTGTTTCAGTCAAATGTCAGTCAAAACAACACTCAACTCATAAATAACGTCAATCAAGGCGTTCATCGACTCAATGAAAGCAAACCAAAGAGTTGTCTCCAGAAGTGATCGCATATTCTGGTTATCACTTCTCGACAACCGTTGAGAGCACTGTCAGCACAACACACACACCACTCATGTGTCTGTCCGCTAACGCACTCAACTCGTCGACAGGCGTTGCATTGAAAAGAGACAGCACTTAATGAATCATAACTTTCATTGCATTCATTGAAAGGACAATAATTTAGTTTTAAAACACTCTTTGAATGATTAGTAAAATAGAAAAATCTTTTGACAATAATTACAGAGAAATACAATTAGAGGAGAGAACTAAGGGTCGAATTGGACGACAAACGACTCCTCGCAATGGATTTTGAATCCGTTGTGAACCGAAAGACTCGCCCTTTCGCTGAAATAGTTGATGAGATTGAGGTCGTCTTCGGAGATGGGGTCCAACTGAAGGTTGCGATTGGTTAACGGAACTGAAAGACAAGACACAGTGAGTGAGTGAGTGAGTGAGTGAGAGAGAGAGAGAGAG